GTCAAATTTGAAAGAGTGAAAAAGATTTATTTGCAGAAAATTTTTGTTGTTATTCACATTTCTATAATTTTAAAACCATAAACTTTTTATAGATTTGCGTGTTACATTGTTCGTTTCTCGGACAATACATTATGCAATAAATCACTTATCAATTTTATCAAATTTCCTATGATATTATATTTAGTGTACACATGAACTGGTTGTGACTGAATATTACCAGAAGTGTCGTGCAATATTATTTCACATGATCGATGATCCCTAATAATTATGAACGCATTTTTAAACCGGCTGATCATGCAAACAGTTTAAACTAAACCTAGAACAGTTTGTGTGTACATATATACACTGTTGTAGATCATTAACGTAGATCATCTGTATCGAATGATTGAGGACCTCGTGTGAGACGAGAATGATGTGACAAAACAGCTAAATTACAAGTCACACCCCGTTATCAACACCTGAATTGGATTACTTATCCTTTGTATCAAGGTACTATGGCTGCAGTGAAGATCATATAACACAAAGGACGTTGTTACAGAGTTATGATGGTAAGAGTAAGTACAAGTGAGTGACTGCGGCCACCAACGCAGTTCATGGTGTGCGATTAGTTGATGCGCGTTAGTTGCTCTTGAACTTGACTAGGATCAGTAAACCGTTCCACACTCATGAACCCAACTGTTGAATGATTTTGCTAGGGTCCTGTAAATTTCACTGGCGCTACACTATAATACATTCGAAATCTTGAGCGATCAACTTCAAATTTCAGTCGTCAGGTTATTGTCATCAGACATCTATGTTGTTACTGGCAGTAATTCACCACCAGGGTTCGTAATATTACTAAAACAATTTACTGTACTTATGGTCAAGTTAATTACGGAAATTTCAGACAATAGAAAAAACAATTGTTTTTCGTTTTAGAAGTTCGTTATACAAGTTACCAGGCTCAGTTAACCTCTATTGATCTATATCAGTCCTTACGATCCTCTGCCCATTTTTAACACTATAAATTTGCCGAGCAGAAGCAAAACCACAAAAACATCCAAGTTTGAGACAAGCCTTTCAACAAACACATCTAGACGTAAATATTTTCTGAAATTAGGAATTAGACACTGGACCAAAATTTTCAGTCATAGAGAGTGTATCTAGCTCAAAGAATGTCTTACAACATCATAGCTGCGTAAATGTCTTAACAGGTTTTACTTGCTTGCACTTATTTGACAAGTAAAATGACCAAGTGACAGAACACTTGTGGCAATCTTCAAAGCTTATTATTTCTTTGCCCTCGATCAATGCCAGATTAGGAGCATTTAAGTGTTAGTAATGTTTGTTTCTTACGTCTGTAATACTCGGTAGTGAAGTGGGAAGTGTTCGAAACCGACGAGGAGATGTAAACTTTTCATTTCAGCTCGTGCAATTATCCAGTGAGCCGTTTTTAATAACAAGCTTTGGATCAGTGGTAAATGCCAATTCACTAAATCGTAATTCATGGGTCGATTATAGAAAGTCAAAAAACCAATATAATTAACCACATATTCTTTAAACAAGCGATAATGAAATTTGAAAGAGTATCTCGTTTAAATTCATGCGGTACTGACCAAACAACTGAAGCAGTTAACGTGGACACGTTAAAAAAGAACGAAAAACACACTTTCGTAAAGATTTTTATGTTTATTCACACTAATTAGGAACGCAAAAATCGAAGAGAATCTTTCTAGACGCGATACTCACTGTAAGCGTGCTTTTCGGGAGAAAGACAACGGTGGGGGCATTGCGTTATCTTCAACAATTAGGACGAGTGAATCAGCAACTATGTACAACTTCAACATTGTACTTCGTAGAACACCTTACAAAGAGCTCTCCGTCAAGAAATTAACACCTAGATAATGAGATTTTGCCACATGTCAAGCCTAATTGAAAAGCACTTCCATCAGGCATGGCTACAGTCCCATCGGTTGAAAACTGTAAGGAGAGGTATGAAAACACCCTCCCACCCATAACCTTAAATAAACTGACCAGTCCTTTATTGAGACTGCAAACGAGTGGCTAGATTACTCTTAATGAACTTTCTGAAAGACATGATAACTTCTCGTAATGTCAAATAAATGGCTCAAAGTAATTGACGGTTTGTATAAGCTCATTACAAAGAGCTTGGATATCGGAAAAACTAGAGAAATTGGAGGAGCTAAGGGTATAGGGTGCTTAGTAATGTTGTTTTCTGAAATCTCTACTTACACACGAATTCTTGTGCCTAGACAAAACAAAAGTGGAGAGAAAAGATGTGCAAGCATATATTTGGATGATGTTGGGATGTTTTCAATCTAAACAGTCTAACTGCAGATACAGTTTAGCAGCACAGTGTACACAAACGTGATCTATCGCGAACCAACATAGATGTATGTGTGGTTAAAACTAAGGTCAGAACGTTCGGTAAGGACCTGCAAGTCTATTAATTATTGGGATCCATTTACCGCTACAAAATAGATCAGTAAACAAATTTTGACTTTTACTAACTGTTATGACTTGTAAATGGAATGCTACTTTTGTATCTGGTCGTCGCTGATTGTTATGTCGGAATCGCTGACCACTTATGCTCGGAACGAAGGGACCTCCACAATTCCCACGACGCAAAGTAAGAACACAAGACTGGTTTAAGCGAAGTTTTATTTGCCCAAAACACTATGGTGACGCGACGACTTTAGTCAAAAATACACTCATTTATATATTGATTATACATCCATTTTGATTAATAATTAGAATGAAATCATATATATGAAATATACTCAGATATCACAAATCATATATATAGCACAGTTCATGTCAAGTGAATACAAGAATGCCGTATATTTTACAGAATAAATTATCGTGCGAGAAAAGAAAATAAATATCCGGAATATAAGTTTCCCGGGTCCATCCTCCGCCACGAAATAATGTTGGATCCTCATATTCCCAAGTTACAGTTAGTGTGACTCTATTTAAAGTATATTTCTCGCATTGAGTAGAGAGTCCACTACAATTGACTAGATGGTGAGGATCAACAACACTAAACATGATGTCAATAAGGTTTGATTCTTGTGAAATATTTTCATCAGATCTCTTGAAAATTTCATTAGTAGATAATTGATCACTAGAATAATCAGTATCTATCAAAATTTAACTAGGATCTTGATCATCGTTTGGTGAATCCGACAAATTCTCATTTTTGCAAGAAATTCGATCAAACGCATGTTAGTCATTAAGATAATTCATATCTGGTAATACAACTAGAGAACCCTAATAAGTACATGCATCAGAAAATTTTGTCGTAGAATGATGAGCTCCATTTCAAGCAACTGTCTTTATTATGCTGCTTGATTCATTTTCTGTCTCTTTGTAGGCGGGTACCGCAATAATTTTATTAGCATTTAATAAGACATTGTCTTTTTGTGAACTGGACAATTCAGTGTTTGTACATGGTGTTTTGGGGGCAATGAGAATTTAACCCACGACAGGGCATGTCTCTGAAATGGACATTTCTGGATCACTGGGCGCATCATGAACGACTGCAACTGCTTCGCTTACATTACTACTCATCGAGGATTCATAGAGGCTTTTATCGACACATTCATATGTTCTGCAGTCAATTTCCAGCTCGATGTGCAAATTAGAAATTAGTTTAAAACATTCAACCGGCTATTATTAAACCGCTGCTGTTGTCACTCAAATAATAATTGTAATTGATCGGGAGAGATAGCCATTTTCTGAATCAGCACGGTAATGAAAAATACTGTATGATTAATTAACAAGCAATGTCGTTGAAGGACACCGGAGAAAATCCTGTATGTTGATTGTCTTTGCTTTTTTTCACCCCGTCGACAATTGTTATTATCTTGTGAATGCTTTCCGAAATCCCCGTCGCCATTTGTTATGTCTTGTGGATCACAAGATATTACACTGACTCATCTGAAGCCTACCATCAAGATATTGATGTTAAATTTTCCCATCGATTCAAAAAAAGAAAGACGGACACATAAATATACATACTGTATACTAATCGACGGAGGTTTCAGTTTTAGAGAGAGATACGCAGACAAGATGATGCACAGGCACTTCAATAGGATCTGACTCGACTTCGAAGTTGGGCAGATGACAACGGACTTACCATTAACACCTCAAAGTGTAAGGCAGCCCATCTGAGACATGTTACAGACTACAGTTATAACTTAGGAAACTCCTCTATATAAGTAACACAAGTTGAAAAATTTTAAGGAGTGCTGGTACTCTACGATTTAAATTCTTACGCTAATCGTTACAAAAATGTTTTTCGGGCAAACCTTGCACTAGCAAAATTGAAGCGCATTTTTGGCCAGTTTTACGGTAGAACTTTCTACATAGTCTTCAACAGTTTTATTCATCCTTATTTAAAATACGGGGACATAGTGTTTCCTCACTCGCTCTAAAAAGATAAGGACAGCCTCTAACGTGTCTAACGGCGATCCGCGGATTCAGTTTGGGGACTCAAATTCAAGCCATATGAAGAGCGCCTTCACTAACTTAACCTTTACTCATTAGAGTACAGGCGCCATAGAAGTGACTTTCCAGTGGCTTACAGTATCCTTAACACTTCCTTATATCTCCTCAAACATCCGCTCAAATTAAGCTCCACAAACCTAAGTGTTAACACCCAGAAACTAGAGACACAAGACAGCAGAAGGGATTGAAGACACAAGTTTTAATCTATAAGAGTTGTTAAATGCTGGAATTCGCTGCCGGATGAGCTATTCCAAGCAATTTCTCAGGAGTCCTTTAAGAGGCAACTTGACCTATTCTTAAGGAATAAGAATAATAACTTGCTACGATTTGCCAATTTCTTTATGCTCTATTATCGTTAATATACCTAGGTTCTTGCCTTGACGTATTGTTGACCCACTGCTACTATACACAGAAGCCTGGTAAGTGAATGATCCTTCTATTCCATCCACAACCATTTGAAACCTTTTGAATCCTAACATGTACAGACCGATTGGAAACGCGTATTTTACAGTAACCACAAGCTAATTCGACTTTTGTTTTCTCATACTTCAGATTTCAATATGTTTTTATGATTGTTTATGCATCTTTGATACACTAATGATATAAGAACGTTATATTCTCCGTTTATGTGTTTTATCTTCAATATGTTGTCATAACAACCCACTACATGGTTTTGAACAATGGGAGATTTAGAAGATTTTTTGGAAAAGTGGCCAGCACATGCCCTTGGAAGAACGTTTGCAAAGTCAAATGCGTGTGTTATCAATAACAAATTAGTTTCGCTGACAGAAGTCGAAACAAGTTGGTGTTTTTTTGCTTATTAAATAGTTGCGTTTTGAAAAGAAATCCCTAATATTGTTCCCAAACCGAAATTCCTTGATACACTTGAAAAAAAGATATACAGTGGTTTGAAAAATATACAGTCAGATGATAGGGACCTTAGGTTTCAGGTTATTTTTCTCTATAGTTGCAATCAGTTGGTCAACTTACAGATTTACAAAGAAGCATTTCAATCATTTATCCATGAGTTCAAGACATACAGAACGTTTCTTTCCGTCATCAACAAGGAATATGAAGAATACTTAAACTTTTATAAAGCTGAGGCACAAAAGCTTAGACCAGTCAAGGTGAAACTTATAATATATTTATTACTATCATTTGTCACTGCGCATAGGAATACCTCTGGACAATTTCTCAAGAATGCGATGAACGTATATTAAAAATACAGAAGCGAGAAAGACCGGGTAACCATTTATTTTTTAGTCTAGCGACATACAAGAACTCAATAGTTTGAAACAAGAAATTATAAGACTGAGAGAATTGATTTCACAATTAAAGGAGGATAAGGTTGGTCTAGAAACTCAGGTGAGCCACTGAATAATTATTTACAACCGTGTAACTCTATTGATTGCATCGAAAAACAGTTTCAGTTACTCAGTCATCATATCTATATCTCGGTTTCTTCACAAAGAGTGAATGGCAAAAATATAATACACCTTATTTTGCGGTCGACAGTTAATTTCACTCTGACTTATGGTTGTGCATCGCATTATTCTTCTCTGAAGTTATCGTTGCTTGTTGTTTTTATTTGACTAAATATGTGAGGTCGAAAGTATTAATTCAAGTTACTTAATCAGTTAGCAAACACAACGTAGAGCCAGGTATATTTTGCTCGTGTGTAAGTTACCACAACACTTTAACAAATCTGGATGAAACTGACCAATCTAGCGACAAGTCCCTGAGTAGTATAAGCAGTTATGGAATTCTCGGCAATAGCAAAACTTAGTCACAGAAGATAAGATATAAGAAAAAAACACCAATTTATTGAGTGATGAAAAAAAATTATAAGGTAACGTGTGGAACGTATGATCTAGGGGAAGATTACGAGCGAGTGCACTCGAGTTTGTAAGATTAATCTCGAGCTATGTCACCCAAAACAGCCTAATTAACTTATCAATCCTCGATGATCTCTTAGTGCGACTTGCGTTCGCTTTGGTAATTTTCCAAGTCGACGAAGCAACGCTAATATATAATTATTGGTTAATAAAAGTTTTCTATCAATAAATGTATGGTGATAATTGTAAGAATTTATATCATTGTGTTCCTCAGTTTCTGGATGCTTGCAAAATTTGGGTTTAGCTACGTGGATTCTTAAAAATGATCAAAATGTCTTCTGAACAATATCAAAATTGTTGATTTCTTTTCAGTTCATAAACGTAGCCTAATAGTCTTGAATCATCTTTCTCGTAATGATAGTTCTGTTAGAAATGCCTTCGTACTTGACGTATAAACCATTGATCATTGTACTTATCGCAAGTTCTCCAGAATTTACTTTCTGCACGACAATAAAAGTGCCACATGATGATTAACAGTGATACAGTAGTACAAACGGTCCTTTCAAGTAAAAAAAGTTTTTCAAACAAGGTCTATTGTTAGGATGACTCAATTTATATGTGTTTAGATTGGCGGATATATAGTGAAATATATTGGGAAAATAAACGTTTCTTGTTGATTGGAAAGTTTTGACGTAACTAATACCGTTGACATTTTGACAGCATTTCGAATAATCACTATACAGAAACTCTGATTTTCAATGACGTAGCAAGCTATTAGTCGCTAACAAAATTCATTGCGACTTCTAAGTTTAAAAACAACTAATTTTAACTTATTATCAGTCCTTCTTTAGCTTCGGTTTGATCCTTACGAGTCGAATGCTCTACATTTTTCACACTTAGATGATATAATGACTTAACGTTTATCATTTTTTACTTATCACTCCGATTTATTAAGTGGTTGTTATATTCATCATATTTATGTCCGATAACTGAAGACAAATGAACTGAGCTAGAACTAGAATAAAAGTATTTGTGAGTGCATGTTTCAGTGGTTGACTAGACTAAGATGTACAGTAGTAATAAACAACCAAAGTATAATGGGACTGAGTAGTCATAATTTGATTGCAGGAATAGTACAATTGGTTTTACATCTGAATAGACCGCCTTGTGATAAAATAAGATTCGTAGTGACATTGTGACTTGGAACCACTAGTAATTGTACTGTAGTGAATTCATCAATGTCTACATTAGTATAGTCTAACATGAAGTGCACTGAGATAAATTCAACCTATCCAGAGTGCTCATAGATAAATAAACAGACAGAAAGACAGATAAGAACACTGTTAGACAGAGAAATAGATATACTTGCAACTTAGCAAAGTAATGCTGAAAAGATTTACATACAAGGTTTTCGAATCAGTCTCACAATTGGGCAAAAAATTAACCAATGGTAGCAAACTAATCCATTTAATAGTCATATGTCCAGTTAGATATCGTACTTCAAAATTAGTGCAGTAATGTTCATTTAAAATGTCAGTATTCAATAACATAGTGATCTTACTTAACTGACAAACATAAAAATCTGCTCCAATGTATTTCAATAAATCTATAAAATCCTGATTGAGATTACTTTAAAGTATATTAGGGTAACGGAATTATCAAGGAAAACAACCATTACTAAATCTCTTTTTCCTGCTATTTTTTCAGCAACATCCAATTTCATTTACAATCATGTTTTAAAAAGTTGAGAATGATTTTACTCACCAACTGAGGTGGCTGGTACATTTGTTACTCCCATTCAATCGCACACCTCAACGAGATAAATCTTCCGGTTCAAAAGTTGCTTGTAAGAATGCTAGGAGTGACCAAGCCAAAATTTAGAATCATTACACGGAGCTGCTAACAAACGTGTTTGGTCATGCTAATAAGTTAGGATCATCTAGTTCAGTCAGCCCGACTGGAGAAACTGACTATCATGTAATTGTGTTGGGCGGTGTCCAAATAACTGATATTGATACACAGTGCGTTACGCTCTAACCCTCCAATTGATTACATGAGCGAGAACACAAGAGTGAGCAAGATACTGTATTGAGCTACCGAATTAAATGCCAAATACTAACTCATATATATATATATATATATATATATATATATATATCACTCTATCCTTAGGAACTTGACCTATTATTTTAGCCAATGAAATGCACTCATTTCTGATTGGCTCTCCGTATCACATGTCTCATGTTTGGATTCGACTGTACAAGTGCACTCATTTTTTTCATCTGCTAGATTTTGAACAATAAATTTATCGTATCTTTCTCCATTTCATCGATCTATTCTCTCTTGACACATCATGCTGTTCATTCTGATACTTTTCTGTTATTAGTGACCCATTCTTACTTCCACTTTTATGGATTTGTCTTGGCAGTTTTATCGTTTTGTAAAAATGTTAGAAAACTTATATCAATACATGTCTATGCAAGATTCTGTATCTGACGAACAAAGTGACAATGGAAATTAGGCTTCTGTTAGCTGTTTACGTTATGGTACTCTGCTAAAGTCGCTACATAGTTATGGTAGTAAATTGCCATGCAAAAAGCTCGTGAGTTAATTATCTCTTGCAACTCAGTCAATCCCGGTATCTCGGTAATCCTCTGTTTATACCTTTTCACTCACTCATTTCGAAATATACTTTTGATATTTGATTTTTCGAGATTTCATTTCCACTACACTGTTTCTTTTTTCTGTTTATTTTTTAAAATTTATCTTGTTGCGCTGTCGAGGTATAGTAAATTTGGACAACGAGAACCTGTTGTTGGCTCTTAATTAATAAATGCTTAGAATTCTGTCGGCATATAAATACTTATACAGATAATTATCCAGTGATCCGGTCATATTCATGCAAGCTGATAGATCACATTAGGGTTATCTGTACTACCTTGTTAAGTGATCCAAACTTTACTTTAAAATGGTTCTATTATGAAACTGAAGTTGCCGAGAGGCTTCCATATCAATATAAGAACAATTCATTTCAATAGTAATTTATTGTGCTTAACATGTTTAATTATCAGGATTCTAACAATTAACTCACATGTTTAGAACCCATTTATCCCCTTTGAATTTGATAAATAGCAGGGTGTGACACAAACTCCACCACACTTGTCTCAAATAAGGTTCACTCCACCAGTTCGAGCGGCTGGCTAAATAATTTCTTAGTCAGATCTTAGCAAAATTTAGAAACTCATGGTTTTGCCCTGTAATTTGTTCATGCGTTGACGCTAATATCTACTTTCCAACGGTTATTTGCTTAGGTAGAACAATTAACTCAGTCAATTAAAGAAGAACACGAGAAATTTAGATACGAAGCTGATGCTAAACGGTTGTTAATATCAGAAATTAATGCAATGAGAATGCAGTTTGATGAAAGTGAAGGGGTATCTAAGCAACTACAAAATAAAACCAACCGACAAGATGATCCAGTCTTGTTGAAAATCGCACTAGAGTAAGTGTTGTATTTTGAAACCGACAAAAGGTTTTTAGTGCTCTACGTTCTCTGCAGAAAACCTCGGGTCATTAATTTTATTTCTGCATTGACAGTTGAATAACGAACTAAGTGATAAACAAGAACCGGCAGATAATGAGTTCGTCTTATTTTACAGTTGCTCTGCCGAATTCAAGGTTGAACGCCTGAGAAAACCTTTTATTAGTTAATATAAGCACAAAACTATCCGTGTACGTAAAGAATCTGTTTGTGAGATGTTTTTTCCTTGACATTAGGAAAAAACCAGGGATAACTAATTTATTTAATATTAAGGTTATTTTGAGCCTTACAGTTTGATCGACTTATCAAAATAAATACAAAAATCTCATCGACATGTGATATGGGGCTATTTGTGACATAGGAAACCAATTCAGGAGATATTTCAAGTGTTGGTCATACTTATTTTCAGAAAAAAGCGAACTATATTGTAACTGTCACAAATAAATCTATTTAACTACTGTTTATAGTAAACCTCATAGTTATCTTATACTTAAGTGCACTTTAGGAAAATAAAGAATGCCATAACAAGCTTGGTTTCTGCGTGAACCGATTTTGTTGACAATTATTTAATCATACCAAAGTTAATGAAACGAACATACAATTATTATACCTAATTGGTGTCTGCTACTTATGCTAACAGATATAAGTGGCGTGTAGATGCAATCAGAAGTGGAGTGCCTGACAGCAGAAGATTGAATCGAAGCGAACAGTAAAGGGAAGTTGGAAAGTAATCAAGATAACAACATAACTAAGGAAATAATGAAGTATATAAAAAGCAACTCAAAAAGCATGTGAAAATGATGTATTTAATGTATGATTTTCATGGTTTACTAAGCCACTGCGTAAGTTTGCATTCAGTAACAAATTGATTTCCCCCACCTGAATTCTCGTTCACTACTGCTAAGTTGGTGTCCCAGGTCAGTAATACACCATACCTCATAACTACACTCACTGTATGACTCCATCGATCAATATTTTAAAAGCGCTATCCTCTGGAGATATTTCAAAAATATATTCGATTTATAAGAACTTTATTTGGATTTGTTCTATCACATAAAGAGTCAAACCAATAGTTATCCAACGCGAAATCAAACAAACATATTTTCAAAAAAAGCTTGTTTTCACCGTCCTTATTTACACTCACGCTTTATTATGACAATACTCAACTCTCAAAACTTTTTAGTTTAGAGTATTAAGATCTGTTAATTTCACAAATAGGCGACCGTGGAAGTATGATAAATTTTCTACTGTTTCTGAGTGAAAAATATTGGATTTTCAGTTTATGATTGGACTTCGCTGATATCTAGTTTAGGACTAAAAATTTATTTACTACGTGAGGCAAACCAGACTTACTGTGACACATTTTCTACTTTGCATAGTTCTACAAGAAACAGACTTTATTTTAGGTTAAAACTTTTCTTTGAGGTGATATAACAAGCAAAAGACATCCAATATTATAACAAATTGGGGAAAAAGTAACAAAGTGTTTATTGACATCCTTCAATGAAAACAAGTAAAATAGTTGTTACTCATGAATAACGTACTGATTTTCACAAAAAATGTATGGTTCACAATTGGATATTTTTATTTTCCTATTTTAGACAAGCAAGAAAAGCTCAGTCAGCTTCTGAATTTGAAGTGGTTCAATTGAAAGCTGAATACGTGAATGTTATGCCTAAAAGTCGGTATGGTGCTTTATGGGAAGCAAATAATAAAATAAAAAGCGATTATAACATGAAGATTAAAGAAAATGAGGAATTAAATGAATCCTTGGAGTATGTATGTTACTAACGTTAATTCAAGTTTGTTTTTATTCATGATTATTCAAGGGTGGGAGTAAGTACTTTGTAATTTTGTATAGCTGACGTCTTTTCTTAACTTTCATCAGTCCTGTGATCAGGATCATTTTATTTAAGAAAAGTTTGAAGGTTGGTGTCCATAGACGGGCACCTCTAAATGAACTGTATTGCAAGTTTTTTAACACACGTCAGAAGATTCAGTTTAGTGGACTGAAGAATATGGACAAAGAAAAAAACTTTAGTTTCTTATTTTATTTAATTACTCCTTATTGTTTAGAACCAAGGTTTTTTTATTAAACTTGCTGAATCAAGTTTAGGAGTCAATGTTTCATTTGGACTATTGTGATGTCTTTAAAAGCTAACACAACCAAACCGCTTCATTTGTTGTATTATACGGTCATCACTCATCTTTATTGATTGTACTTGTCTCAACTGCCCGAAATTCTGGTGAAAAGTTATGAAAAATCACAACCGATATGTTCTTTAAATTAAATATCTTTCAAAACACAAAGTCTAAGATCCTGTTACTTATCTGTTGTAAATTTGGGTTAGTTTTATTCAAAAAACACTTTGAAATTAGGCCTGCTTCCCACTAATCCTTATTTTAAAAAATGAGTTTATAATTTTTAAAGCAGGATTTATGTATCAACCTCGTTATAACCAAGATCATTAAATTCATCGTAAAATATATTAGTCACTTAGTATCTCTGAATTTTGACATGGTCTTTTTTAAAAGTGGTTATGAACAGTAACTTTGTAGAATAAATTAATTCAACCAAAAATTTATTCTTCAGTATTACTCGAACGCAATTTGTAAGGAGATTCATTATTATCAATAAGCTCAATAAAAAGCATTCTAAGGAATTGCATTCCACGTCTAAGTCTAATAAGAAACACAAATACTCTTACGGTTTCAAGTGTTATTCAACATTTGATATCAGTATATGAATTGTAGTGACTGTTTTGAATGCTGTTTTTAACGTTTGCAGTTGTCTAGAAATAGAGAGTTCATCCCGACCTACTTTTTCACTTTTCAATAGTAAGACAAATATTTGACTCCACAAACTACTTCTAACGGTGAATATTATCAAGAACAAACTCCTCAGATTACAGATTCTTTGAAGTTGTCTTAACTAATCTTAGTAGAATGTTATCTATAAACCAATTAACAGTTTATCTTAAATCAAAGCAGATGGTAAAATAAGTCAACGACTAGTATAATTGTTACTATAAGCTTCAATTTAAAAAATTCACGTATTTGTTACCGATGAAAAGAGCATAGCATCATTTATAAGATAGCAATAATCTCGGATAGTTCGTCGGTTTATTAAGTCGGACGGTGAAATGACAGCAGTAGTTACAGCGTAATAAATTGGACTAGTATAATGATAAAATGCCTCTAGCGACATATAAAAGAAGTTTCTAATACGATGTATCACAGAAATCTTGTTTAAAGGTGAAATGAATATGATACATATAGTAGTTCCTAAAGCTCATCTTCTTCTAAGATAATACTCGGAGAATAATTAAAAATATGATAATATGTACAACTTAAACCACTACAATGGTTTTACGTAAGTAATCACTTCTAACCAATTAATTATGATATTCGAATAACAATCACTGTTATGCATTAGATTTCATCTAATATTTATCATTCATGTCACCTGAAGATTTCTAAAATTTCATTCAAATGGGTATTACAAAAGGACAGAATAACATATCTTTGCAAACCTATCATTTGATTGTTTTTTATACATAACATTAAATAAGTAATGAACTATCATACTGAATAATTTGTTATCATTCATTTATTCACTTGTGAAAACATTACTTCTAATTTTAATATCCAGACTACGTAATCAATACGCGCATTTTGTTCTTTCACAGACTTTTAAAAAATCAATTAAATGAAGTTATGAAACAACGTGATCAATCAGAAACAACAGTTCAACAGTTACAAAGAGTATCAACACCGAGGTAAATAATTAAGTGTTTAGTCATTATTAGCTAACTTAATAATTTAGTTAACAGTATTTGAAGAAACAAATAAATAACCGTTGTTATACATGATAACTGATCGATATTTATTTTTAACTATATTCGCCAAGTATTAGTCAGTTTCGTTGAATTTAAAACATGAGGGTGAAATAGCTATCCGTGGCTCCAGGAAGCCAATAAATGACGAAAACTATATTGCAATTAAAGAAAATCCTACAGGCAAACCAATGTCACCACAATCATGAATTCACTAATACCTTAATTTAGATCATAACTTAAGTTGAACATATGAGAAGGACTGGATTTTGAATAAATAGTCTAAATGTAATCAGATTAAAAGTACTTCAATTCTGTCTCGTCAAAATGAGAGCCACCAAGAAGTTCTAAACAAGAATATACGGATGTACAGTATTTCCTGGTCTTCAATGATTCTCTAATTAATATCAGTTCATGATTAAAATTAAGTACAAATCAAGCCACCTAGTTGTTTCATTTTTGTAACATTCATTTAACGGTTTTCATATACCTTATGAATAACCTCTTATCAGTAGAACAGTGGATTGTATATTCATCAGTTTCGACACTGTTATTTAAACAATTATTAAGATTTATAAATGTAAGCTACATTTAAATAACTGTATATTATTCATTCATTCATCAACATCCTAGAGCCGGACACAAATGTTCTTTATTCTAAGTTACCATACAACATCAACGCAATGAAATGAAATTAGAAATATATATATGTTAGTAGAGTAGGTAGCACTGATAGTGTAGAAAAGTAGACATTACTTTTATGATTCTAGTAAACGGAATAAACAGAATTCAAGATGCAGAGGAATTTAAAGAGTGAATGCGTCTGAGATATGTTGTCCAACATCCCCAGCTGTAGATTGAAGTTTTTGTATAGGCACCAATCAGGATCCCTCATCTACCAAAATAAATCACTTCAACTAATGATTTTTTAAATGATCCAATGTCTTGTTGTTTTCGCTTATTATCTCTCTTTAAAACTACATTTACTACAGTTAACACTGTACATTAAAATAAGTGATAGTTTACCTTAGATGACAAATGTCCTAGATATTACAGTTACTGAAAATTCATAGCCTCGTTAGTTAATTCGGTATGTTTTTCTAGTAACCTAAGTCCGACCTCAACGATGCCTACTTTTTGGTCCAAAAATGCTCATGCAATGCTTCAGATTCATTTATAATCAAAATCTTGACTGCTATATTCGGTATTTTAGAGATGTAGTATAATTGAGAGTAAACTGCTGCTCAGAATCCTCACCCTAGTAAACCTTGAAATGTAAGATCTTTTGGAAAATTAACTATTAAAAGCACAATAAAAAGCTTAGAAAATGTGTGATCATGTAAAAACTGATACCACTGGAACAATGAAAGTCTCAATGGTTATTTGAGAACATTTGTTTTCAGTACGGATTACGCAATAATTTTCTTCTAATAATAATTTCATCTTGGTTGAGTATATTATAGTATTAATAACAGATTTAATTCCCTAATATATTTGTTTGTTTGTTTAGAAATTCTGTATTCTAATATCTATTCAGTGGAAATTCGTAGATTTGCCAAGTGAACAATTTCGAGATTGGATCACACCAATCACTTTAGTGCTCTATGTCTGTTAACTATACCATGATAACAAACTCTCCACTAGCCCTCTATTATTTAAGAAAATGCTTGATTTTTGACCCATATTTTTATCATATCGAAGAACAAACAGAAAGTAAAAAACTAATTTCATGTTCCACCAAAAACTGTTCAACATTTACTTATTTACGACTAGAAATACCATCCTACTCGAAATATTAAATTGAAACTTATCAAGTAGATATTTTCATTGAAAAACGACAATAACTTCCAATAAACCAGTCCTCATTGTTAAGGATACCTAAACACCGTCATACTATTAAACACCTCTTACCTCCTTGCTACCTTGTTCTTTTCTTTTCACATATCTTAATTTCTCTTTTGTGCACCGAAACTCTTCACAAGGATGCATCTTTTAAATTTATTACAACCGATTTTGCTTTTTGTCTTGATTGATCATTATTTATTTTTTCACTACTGTAAAAGACATCTTTAATATATTTTCGCCCGTTTCCTAAATTACTGGATTAATTGTTTTTGACGTCTCACGATAAAACGTCAGAGGATCTCTTTTTTGGATTAGCAAAGACTAGGAATAAGACTGAGAAATATCGTATCCAACGTACTTGAATCGATGCTATGAGCTTCTGATAGTATAATCAAGCTATCTTGTTTACACACGAGTGCTAGCAAAATGTCAAATCACTTTTATTGATGAAAGGAAAACAACTAATGTTTGGGAAATGTTCGTATGACAAAGAAATAAAATATAGCACAGATTTTCATTTGGCGATCGATTCTTGAACACACTAGGATCCTGACAGAAATAAATTGTAACCCTAAGAATTAACTTGGTTCCATATTATAGAGAAATCATTTTTGACGCAGTCTTTACAAGTGCTATTATTTCTAGAATGAATCTACAAATCCAGTATAGTGTTAGGCACATAAGCTATTCGTTATTTAGTATGTTCATTATAATGTTTAAAAAAATCCTTCACCTATCTAATGAACAATCCTATGCTTTATACATTTTTTGTATATTCAAGACCGGACTGGAATGAAGTTGGACGCAAATTACCTGGAGGTTTAACTCGATGGTTGGAAGAAACTGCGTCAATGTCATCTCAAGAGAAAATGCATTTCCTTGTCAATCAGCTGACAGTACAAAATTCTGAAAACATCAAATTCAATTTAAGTGCATACATAAAGGTAATAAAAACTGATTTACTCTCATTCTTACTCTCTTAACTTTATTGTCAAACTGCAGTTTAAAATTCAGTTGAACATTATTGTATCTAAGATAGTTCTGGCAAAATCTAAATGACGCCATAAATTTTGTTTTAAATAAGGTGATAAACCTATCGTTAAGATAATCAAAACAAAAATGATTTAATCGTCAATTAACTTCTATTTCAGTTCACATACAGATGGGAATGAAATTCTATAAATTGGAGTGATTTGATCAAATTTAAAAGTTTTCATTTCTTTCCCTTGGTGTTCCACATTTTTATACAAAACAGACGATTAAATTATTGACGGTTTATACCATATTGAATTATTAAAACTTAGTAAGCAATACAATCAAAAATGATGGTAGCTGGTAGTGGGATCCAGGACGCGAGTTTCATCATATTTAGGACCGGTCAGCTGGATAAACTTGCATCCCAGAGTTGATGTTCACCGCGGGACATCCATCTGACGAGTCCTAAGTAGGATGAAAAGCGCGTCCTGGATTTCAGTGCTAACCACCATCATCTCTATTATTAATGCTTGTGATTTAGGGCAATATTGAGGCAATCTACACAGAATGCACATATGCCAATATGATACTGACCAATTGCAGTTCTAAACAAGCAACCAATACAAAAATGAATTAAGTAATCAAAATAGTTCTAAATATATTTTTTGCTGTGTTAAGTTGACGTTATGGATAACAATTTTATTCAGTTCAGAAGCTATGTTTGTAGACTCATGAATGAGACCATTTAAATTTCGTAAACACACCTGTTCACTTAACTCATACACAGACTATTTTAGAACAAATTTTTCTTGAACATAGGTCTTAAAGGAATAATTAACAATGAAGATAAAGGAAATGATTCAAGACAATATAATGAATTACATGAATAAAACTAGAGTTTCATATGTTTAGCGTTTCATTGCAATCAGTATTATTTTCGCTACTTTACAATATTTTATCCTGTCAGCCTTCTTGAACAATGTACTGATTCTAAACATGAAACCTTAACAAATACATATTCTTGCTAGGTCTTGTTTGTGGTTTTCTTAATATTCATCGTAAATACTTTTATCTAACTCTATCATTAGTGTACATAAAAGTCTTCTGGATGAGTTTTCGTATACGTATTTGTTCTTACAGGTTTGTAAGTACATTCATTAAGGAAACTAAACCACAACAAAAGCATAGTTATTTTTATTCAAGTTATCACTAGCAGCTTTGAGAATGTTATATTTCTATTGAGGTCAACTACACATTCCATGATTAAAAATCTAAAATATTTCAAGTTTACTTATTTCTATAAAAGTATAATTGTTAGTTGTTTATTTCGGTCGTTTTTACGACTCTTGATTTTTAAATATTTGTTTAATATTCTTGAAGCTTAAAGGCTGACATAGGTTAAACATAGGTCTACGACAGTACCTTCCAGTTATCTAACAATAAAAAAGTCGAAGTGTTGATTAACATGTCACTATGGAAGTAGAACAAATGTTTAGAAGCTTTCATTAGTCAACCAGTTGTTAAGTAATTGGACTTATGAAAGTCAGTATCCAGTCTTAACTTCTTTATTCTAAATTAATCTTTTTAATGGTTTTTTCCTCAAAATTAAAAAAACGTTTTCCGAGATTTGACTGTCATCGTCTTATATCATAGATCTGTAATCCACGTACATAGCATAACACGTCAGCATCCAAAAACGTAAAGGCCTTAATTGATTCATAAATATTTTAACTATCTTGAATTCAATTGGGATTCATAAACTTATTTAATCAATGTTCTAGCAAATTGAATTAGAAGACTTCCATTTAACTTTTTTTTTCTTTAATAAAATTAAATGCTATAATAGCCCATTATTAGCTTAGCTCTAAAAAGGATTAAAAAAGGTTGATTTAATTTTTTATACAATACACGTTGATCTCTCGTTTTTTTTTCTAAAGTACATGATTAGGGCCAAATTTTGCATTTTATGTTAAATATACTTTTTAATTTATCTCCTGTGATTAAACGTTGTTCAGATTATCTTAATATGCTACCGATAAGGTCGGAAACAATTTTTCAGTGATAGTAGTATATCTAAGTCAATTTTACTACCATCATTAATACATAGGCAATCGTTCGTTTTACTGTGTTGTTTTGGAGCATAGATTTTAAAGATTTTATTTTCATTGACCTTAATATGTATATAATCACTTATTAATTCTTTTTTAAATGGTTTCATTTATGTCATTATGATTACATTGATTAACATGAAAGTAGTTTAGTAGTGATTTTATTGACTAGTAATAATTTACACTAACTGGTATATTAAAGAAAACCATAAGTATAACCTAATAATGTACTATGGAAACAATTAAGCTATAGAATGAATATAAATGAAATCTTCGTAGATTTAGAAGTAACGTTCACATTATGAATGGACATTCGATGGGTGCATATTGTATCAAGAGTTTTTTTACTCATGTGAGACACTTTACTTTTGCTCACTGGAAGCTCCATAGATGGCCAACATCAGGACCTGCAAATATAGAATATTCATTTTATTTGCAGAATGATCTGATATCTACGTTTGAAGCCCAACTCGGATTTAGTTTTTTTTTTTCGACTGAAGTCTGTCATTCTGTTTCAATCGAAACTTATTATTTAGGGATAGTTTGGGGAACGCTTTTGTTTCCTTAATATTTCTAATAAGGTTTAATCGTTTTGAATTGTAAATGCTAGTATAAATATCCTGTGTAATCGTTCATATGTGTGTTTTTTTGACATTTCTTTACTTATTATTAGGAGGAACTGAATTTTGTCCCATCATTTTTACAAACGACTGAAACTGATGTTATAGTATCCAGACCAATACAACTTCGAGATGGTTTATTATTGACACATGAACTTTGGACAACTAGGAAGAATGAAAAAGATTCAGCGAAGGTAAGTAAATGATTTATTTTAACAATCATGAGTAGTGATCAAAACATTTGAGTTCTAACCAATGTGTTATTCATTTTAAACCCACCCATCTTATAACGTTTATCAAAACCAAATAGTACTATTGGTCTTTAAATATATAAAGATCAAAACTGAATCAGTTAATTAAATTCTGGTTGTTAATTCGTACTACGTTTATTCCTGTTTTTATTCTCAATTTCAGCTTGTTTATTTTTGCCTTTACGAGAAGGTAAATATTTTATGTATTAGATAGACGTGAATTGTTAATAGGAAAATTATAAAAAGCAAAATACTAAGAAAATGAATAAAGAGTTAAGCAGCATTCGTAATGGATCACCAAGTGACTATTTATGACCATATATAGCCTTTAGAAGTTCAATATTATACAGTTATATGGATAATATTCGATTTTACTCAAATAAAACCTTATACAAAATAAATGAAAGTTTATAAATCATGTTTAATAACCTTAGTTGTTGTGAATTTTCATTTATTTGTAAGAATAAATGAAAATAATGCTAATAAGAATTAAAATTATTCGATATTTATCATATCCCAATCAACAATTTGCAACTTTGTGTAAATCGCATCTTCAGAAGAAAAAAATATGACACGTACTTATGTTTGGACTGGACAATAGGAATTAAATGTAATCCAAATTTACATTAGGAATAGATTATGGATTTTACTTTTCTATAGTATAATTATGTATGAAATTCTATTAACCACTGATGAAAACATACTTCAGATGGATATGAAAATGTGAAATAACAAAACATTCGCTTCTTTGTTAAGACACTGCTGACAGACATCAAGTTCTATAGTTCCAATACATTTTAATCTCAGCATCTCTCTGTCGGCTTAGTTGGTTACGCTATTTATTAATCTATGGTAATACTTCCTGTTTCTATTGAACCATATTCATTACAAATCTATATCACCAGTATGTTTGGTTTTAATGTAGATAAAACATCGATAATGTTAAATGAGTGTTTATGCATAGTGTACAGCCTATTGGCATTTTTAATATTTAATAATCTGTCACAGTTTTATAAACCAAATCACATTATTACATGGTTAATAAACAAGTCAATACATTCGTATATCATAATACCAACGCATTTTGTAAAATATGATAGAAAATGTATAAATCAGCTTAGTTTTCAGTTAATGAATACTCATTTAAATGATGATTGCCTTATTATGATTGACACCATGGTAATTATGGAAGGTCAGCTATTGAATATAATAAATCGATGTCCATTTACAGCAGGACTTTGTTAGAACTTCTAATTTACAGTTCAAAATATGATGACACCCACATATTTATAAAAGGTTGAAAAACCTAACCTTTCAAGAGAGCTTTTTGTTTCTGCAGAAAAGACGTTAAAGTAAGTAGATATAACAATAATTATGAATAGACAGTTTTGAAAGCCAAGGTAATTTATGGGGATTGATGTCATTTAAGTGTTTTCTTCATGTCAAGATAACAGAGAGATACAAAACCTTACAACAATAATTATTATTCTGATGGCTTATACATATTATAACATTATTCGCGTCAACCTTCAAAAGCTTTAATGATATACAAAGTTATCCACTTTAGTTGCGTTAAAAATGGTTCTTTGTTTAAACTTATTTCGAGAAAATAAACTTTCATAACTCATTGAAAAGGTCTTAATGATGTTATATAGTCTTAATTTTTTATAACCATTTTGAGGAACATCAATAACTCCTGATCTATAAAGGAAGTACAGAAGATTGGAGAATCTTAGAGAGTGAACTTTATCGATATTCTAAAATTTGCGGAAATCTGTCCTTTCGACACCGAACTAATCTGTTGATAAATAATGAAAATGTTTAATAATAATACTATGGTGGTCGGTATTCAATATAATCCTTAAACTTCGTATACAGTTCGTCTTGATAACCGTCACTAGATAACGCCCCAGTGGTATATTAATCAAAAGGCGAATACGTAGTGTTGAATACGTTGATTATGGAACCGCACACAGACATCCAAAACTACAGGTGCGTTAAGCTATTATGAAAGAGTTGTGCCGAAAAGCAAACAGGCAAGCGAGCGAGTGAGTGAGCGAATACGAGTACGAGTAAGCGAGAGAGAGCCATGAACATGAATAACATGGATATATATATATATATATATATATATATATATATATATATACATATACATATACATATATATATATATAGTAATGAATGAATCATCGAATCAATTAAGAGGTTAATAGTAAGGCTAGCAGCGTGAATAAATGATTATGTAGTGAGCAGTGCTCAAGCATACATGTTCATACATTCGCAACAATAACAAAGATACAAAGATATAGATAAGTTGTTGTTGCACGGATGACTCAGTTCGTTAACTAGTTAACGAAATGACTTAATCGAATTAAATGTGAGCAAACTCAATTGCACGTGGGTTGCTATAATACTTTCAAAGGACGATTTAGATATATAGAGCCAGATTTCGTGCTAGTTGACATTCATCACCAAGCATTATCTGCAGTCTTAAGATAACTGATGCTCACAGTGAAAAATAAATCAGTGTCTCAGTCAAAGATTTTAAAACCGAACTACTGCGCAAACGAGAGGCTGGTGGAAGATGTTAAATATTTACATAGTACTTGATCACCTAGTAGGAAATGATTATATGTTGTTTGAACATAAGTGTTTATTGATGCACTTAGTGGCTAGTTAACGATAGGCGCTAAACTAAAGTTTTACCTTGCTCGACATTTGTCAACAAAGAGTATGGCAGTTTTAGGAAAACTTATTTCTCCACTAAACTCACTAAGTATAAAAAACCAAGTGCTGTGTGAGGCTAGTTGTCGCATGAATACCTAAATCGTAGTGTTTTTGACTGTAATGTGGGATTTAAGTTTAGAAATTATGGGTAGCACCAATTTTCAAAACTGCCATATTATTTTCAGAGGAACACTAGATAGAAAATACGTGAATTCAAAGACTCCTGCCGACTACCTTCAACTACACGTTATATTGAACGAAATCCGACGAGACCTTAGAGCCACTTGGTAACCGAATCCCAAACTGGTTGACAAAATTTTGGAAGTACATAAAACCAAACAAAATAACATTAACATTAAATACGACTAAGTATTTGTCAGTGAACTTCTTAATTGCAATAGTTTGTATGTTTTATTTCATATACTTTTTTGTGGGTTAATAAGAGAAATTAATTTTTTCTGCCCTATTTGATTTTTAAGTAAATCATATCTCTACACATATTGATTTTTAATTTGAAGGAACATTCTATAGGACAACGAAGACGTTCACTTGCATCGAGACGACTTTCACAGGTACAAACAAAGCTAACAAAGGGATAAATCACTTTGTTGCTATATGCACTAAGGCACTAAAGCACTATGCACTTTACCCTAATGCACCTTTACACATGGTCAGCTACAGATAATTTAAATTAGCGATAACAATATGATTAAACGGCATTCGCCTGTTAAAAGATTTGTCATGATACACTTCATGTCTATAGATTTGATCATTACAATTGTCTTTCAGATTGGTTCACGTTTAAGCATATTGATTAAAAAATATTTATTTAGATTAATTTCAAGAAATCAGTTTTTCATAGTTTCGGTCAATAAACAAATACTTGTATGATGCACATCCACAGTGAAAATAAACTATGGGATGTTGAAACAGTACATTATTTGGGTAATGGAAAGATATTTATAAGTCAGTTGTTGTACCATTTCTGCATCAGCATTACGGGAAATGAAAGCAAATAAAATGAGAACTTTATAAATGAGCTGGTTAACTTAAATAACCTATCTTCAAGTCTCAGTGATATCAGTGGACATGTCGAAAAAATCAGTGGTAGTTTTTCTGCTTAAAATCTTCTTCGAAGTAATCTGTGTAAACTTACTATCTATCAATTCGGTCAATTTCGCTTAGTAAACTCCTTGGTCAGTCCTTTGTGAATTCAATTTTTCGTTCACTAGAGTTCTATAGAAGAATCCTTCGTCCAAGTCTCTAGAAGCCCAGAAAACTCCATCAATTGTTTTATTCAGGCATCACAGAACAAAAGTCTTTTTGAAACACCTAGAAAGTGGGGGATCATGAGTCATATTTTTGATTTGATGATCACTCACATTGTAGTGAAGGAGAACACAGGTTGGCACAATCAGATGTATTTAAAAACAAAATTACAGAACGTCTTAATAACACCATACAGTAAATACTTCATTTTCAGAATGTCAATTGATCGTCTCAGACATCATTGTTCCTTCGTTTCCATAGCATTCATTCTCTGTTCTTGTTCTCCTTTCTTTTATCTTCTTAACCTTCCGCCACCAGGCATTTCACTTTCGATTGATGATACATACTACTTATATCTGTCGACAACAGTAGCACACAACACTTATTATATTCATGATGTCTTCAGAAAGTTCTAAACGTTCGAGTTCGTGTGAGAATTGAGAAATGTCCCCAGTTTTCAATACACGAACTAACCCAGAAGTAAAGCTTTTTCTCATATTTTGCGCCTTTTCTCCATTGTTCAAGTAAACATGTACAAATAGTCTGGGGTTTTAGAAAGCAGCTAGAAATGTAGTAATAAGCGTTCCAGTGATAGACTTATCGAGCACCTTTCAGTGTCTGAGCAAAGTTGTAGTCGGAACCTGTCCTAATCCACCTAACCCATACGGGTCATAAAGTCAGAATTAAATAGTCATTATCATTTATTTATCATTTTAAGTGAAATCTGCTGAATGTTTCCAGAATCACTGTTTTTCGAACGACACGATGATTAAAAAATGTCTGCTATCACAATAATCGTTTTCAACCCGTTTTCTGACGCAGACCAGCAGTGGAATCCATTGCCACATAGTCACTTCTATTAGGAATATCGATCAATACTCCTTATATACACATCTTCTTCCCCTTTAAATTTTCATAACTTAAAATAAACTGGTTTAATTTTTTTGTATTTGAACAGTATGTGAAGTATTAACTATAATTCTATTCCTTCTCAATTATTTCATGTGATCTAATGCATTACATAAATTCTGTAAATTCCTTTTAATAATAATTCTAAATTCATTGCCAACAACTCTTTTGCAATTTGATCTATCTTAAAATTGATTATCCATTTTGATCGTTAAATTAGAAATATATCTGTAGAACATTATGAAATTTGATTCAAACAACTATTTCTCAGTTATGTCTCGACTTTTTTTCTAATTCTATCAAAATCCAATATTATACAATGAGTTAAGAAAAGGTTAATATCACAGAACCAGTCGTTTACATCTTCAAGGTTTTATAAATAAGTCCATTCATCTTTTTTTTTATTTTTTTCTAGAACTTAATAGCAAAAGACTATCATTAATATTTCCGATTGCCATCAGATTAAAACTGTTCTAATATATAGTAATGAATTCTTTGTATTAGGTTTTTCGGCAAGTTTATAGTATAGGAACTAGTTTAAACAATTTCGAAAATAACCGCTAAAAAATTTAGTCAGTCATTAGTCAATTAGAAAACAGTTACTGTAAATGAAAAAATCACAGGAAAACTAATATTATAAAAGGTACTCAGTATTTACCTAATTCGTAAATCCTTTAAGTCTTCTACTGGTTTTGTTTGTAAATTAAAAAGAGATAACCTATAATTTTATCTAAATATCTACAAAACATATCTTTTCTAATTCTAGCAAAAAAGCAAATAGGTTTTTAGGAGTCCAATAAATTATTTTTGTTTGAATTAATCTGCATAGAAGAAACATTCTGAATTGAAAGACATAACAATTTGATACGTGTAACACTATAATTTTTACTCTATGACAACAAAAAAAACAACTTTTAGTTATAATTTTAACCATTTAGAGTATTTTACAAGTGTATTTTTCGGTACTCATTTTACGTCGGACATGTCACTAGTTTTTTTAATTTTATGCTTAAACTTAAATACCGTTTTTTTTTCAATTTTTATTAATTCGTTATGTTAACATACTATTACCCCTTTTTGTTAACTAGTTAAACACATTAAATTATATTCATATTCAAATTTAATAACTGTTTCAATGATTTCAAATAAATTTAGCATTGAATAAAGAGCCTTTCTGAAGAAGTGGCTTAAATTACGTCACAAAACGGTAGGAATACAATTTTTCTACTCATTTGAGATATAACAAAAATATATTTATTATTAATAAATATTTAAAATATCAACACAAAAGAAATGACATAGAATAATTATTTCATCATATATCAGACCATAAATAAATGATAAGAATAATATTTCTGAATGATTACTTGGTTAAATTAATATATTTAACCACTTTGATCTCATTAAAAAATAAAACTTTATAAATTAAACAAATTTTCAATTTATTTAATTTAATGATAAGTTAATTAATTAAAATAACTTATTATGTCATTGAACAATAATAATAATTATAGTAATAATAGTAATAAAAATTGCAGTAATAATAATAGTATTAATATCAATATTAATAAAAATTATAATAATAATAGTAGTAGTAATAATAATAATAATAATTGTGGTCACTTTTTCATAGAAAAAAAATGTGAAAAATTTGTATTTCATATTTTATCGTATTATCATATGTTGTACATCTAAATTTAAAAATTTATTTGATTTCACATTATCATTTACTTAATAAAAATAAATTATTGAAATATAATTTTATACTTTAATTTAATTTTAGTTATCACTTAATATATTATGAAATAATAATACAATTGGTATAGTTGTAAATAACCTGGTATTACTATCTCATATCATTTCAAAACAAAACAACAATAACAACATTCAATTCAAATAAATATGGGAAACGTTGGAAGTTGTTTATAATAGCTATAAAACGATACTTAAAACTGAAAGGTTGTACATATTTTGAAGTGTTATGAAATATAAATCTATTGATAATCAGAAGGGCCTTTGTGGAGATTTTAGAAATTTCACTAGTTGAAATCATGAGTCAATTGAAGCTAGACCACCATGGAAAACCTAGAAGCACTGGACGGCCGTTTGGTCCTAGTATGGGACTCCTCAGCAGTGCGCATCCACGATCCCGTGACCAGTGGAGTTCAACCAGGTCTATTGCGAGATATCAGCTCACTGAAGACAATGTTGTATGGTGGCGCGATTTGATGAAGTTAGACAATAACACCGTTGGATGCCGGCTCAGTGTTCTAGTGGTTAAGCGCCCGCGCTCGAAACTGATAGGTCCTGGGTTCGAACGAGTTCGTGGATGTGCACTGCTGAGTCCTACACTGGGTGGAAACGGCCGTCCAGTGCTGCCAGGTTTCCCATGGTGGTCTAGTTTCAATTGACTCATGATTTCAACTGTTGATAATCCTTGATTTTCATCTTCCAATCATGATTTTTTTAAACTCCGTTTGTAACCATTTAATATTACTCAATCTTCAGCTTACATTGTATATAAAGGTAGCTATATATATACAAATATTACGTCTAAGGTGTTTGATAGTCACTTAGAAACTAAATTTTTGAGTACTTCAGAGGTGGCTGTCATTAAAACTTTATTTTAGATTCATTAATATTTGTCGTCAAAACTAATGTTGTACATCTTAGCATTTTATGGTATTATCACTAGTCTGAATTGTGAATGTATTAGCAGTTACTCTAAAGTTTTATAATGCTACCTAATATAATAATGAAACACAGTTACTGACGTGATCGAGTGAACTGATATGATAATGAAGAATGCAAACTAACAACAACGATTATTACACTTCCTGGTGTATTATACCATACAAAGCTGAATAAACATTCAACTTCTGATCGATGGATTGAAATATAAAGTGTTTAGTCAATATTCAACCCTTTACTTTCACTTTTATCTAAGTTAAAATTGCGACGGAAAAAGGGTTGCATGATATAGACCGATTAGTTCAATATGTAAATAAACTATCCAAAAACGATTATTGAAACCACGTGGTGGTAGAAAAACATCTACCTCCTGTTTAATTATTCCACTATCAAATCATATATACCAGTGATTATATTACAACTTTGTCGATAGGATTTCATCTGCACTATAGATCAAATAGAAATGAAGTTCGATGATAATAAATGATCAGTTAATTCTTTCTACATTCGTTCACATATTTTAGAGACTTTTATTCTCATAACAATAATAAAACTTGAAGCCTGTAGTAAACATGTTGTGATGAGTTCTGACTAAATGAATAATCTATTGATTCACTATTGGCTGTTCATCACATTTTTCTGATTAATATTAATAAATATTTATTGCGAAATCTAACAAATCTATTCTATCCTATTTAATGTAATAGTTTTATTGTAATGCTCGAATCAATAACAGATCACCATGGATATAGTTAACAATGTTTTCAATCGAATCTTGCAACAACAAAAAAATATTTCCAAAGATTTATCTTCTTTTATTATTCATATACTGTTAACGGGAAATATGAAAAATTATTATAACATAAATCATCCAAAAAGTTATATATATATATATATATATATATATATATATATATATATATATATTATGAAGTTAACTTTCTCATTTCTTCTCTTCTTTTTCATTGTTTTTTTCATTACTTTATTATTTTCATATATATTAATTGACCACATGACTGACCTATATATTATATGCTATAACCAAATTCTATGTAGTTTAAATCATGAAATGATCTAAATTTTGTTTAAATCATTCAGTTTAGACAGTGGTTTTTTTCACGGTCAATAGTTGTGTTATATTTCAAATTAGCTAATCTAAGTAATTCATAAATAAATGTACTCAAACAATAGTCATGATTATTAAGATTATGGCCTTTATAATAGATAAGTAAGATTAATTGAATAATTAGTGATAAGGATTTCGGACAGTCTGTGTTTTACAGTGAGTTACATTTATTCATAAAAAGTATAAATAATGTAAGTAAAGATAGGTAGTGGCTAGCAGTGGAATCTAGGACGCGCGTTTCGTTCTATTTGGGACTCGTCAGCTGGATGTATCTGCATCCCAGAGTTGTTGTTCACTCTGGATCTCGAACCCAGTACGTTCACTTCAAACGCCATCACGTTATCCACTTAGCTACTGAGTCCTGATAACCACCTGCTTGTGCAATGGAGTGAAGTTTAAATTCATTTGGTATTGTTTACTTGTATCTTCTCATTGTTATTTAGGAATCTAATTGATCAGTCTCATGTTGGCATATGTGTATCCTGTGCTGATTGCCTCGATGAAAATGACTAATTGCAGTTCTAACTGACAATGGGAAGATACATGTAAAACAACACCAAAAGAATAAATTATGTAGTTGTAAATATTTAATTCGGATATAAATCGTTAGTGAAGAAACTTAAAAGTTTTATATAATTATAAAAATTAAGACATTAGAGTTGTTTATTTCAGTAAAGTTTCATACAAAACAATAAATTGTTCAGTGAATTTTAGTCTAGTTAAATCTTGGCTAACATTAAAAAGCAGAATATATATTTCTTTCCATTTGAAAATTGTTTGAACTCATGTTAAATTATTTTCGTTTAAAATAGGATTACCTTTGAGTAACCAAAATATTCCATTATATTATTATTTAAATTCTTAGTATATTCCCTTATGTAATCAAAGAACAATATTAATCTATTTTCATCTTGTTAATTTCCATACTTATTATGATTGACTAAATTATTGAAGATAAAAAAGTTATTTCTCCATTTACTATTATATTTCATTTTTACAATAAAATATAGATGAAAATTCAATCAAAATTACCAACAATTATTCAAAATGTATCAAAAACATTTGATGAATTTCTATGTAATTTCTTTAAACAAATTTATGGTATCGAACAAATACGTATTGAATGGGTATATGGTTTTTATGAAATGTTAATCAAAGAAAATAATAATTATAAACTTAATGAATTAAGAATGATAATTGAAAATAAGGTAAGATAAAATAATCAATAATAGAAATAATTGTATCATTGGATTTTATTTCTTTTATTATTTTTTTTTCAGTTTAACAATAATTTTCATATCCATTAAAGATTATCTTTTCAAATGTTTTTTTCTTTTTGTGTCGTTTTCATAATTCTTATTGAAAGTATTATAACTGCGGACTGATCAGTTTGCATAGAGAACATTTTCTAACAAAAATCTTATTGCATTTATAAACCACATGCATGATATTTCGTTTATATCATGAAATCATTGACTTTGGTAAACGAAACATTTGAATTGACACAACTAACCATGAGTTGAGATCGAGGTTATCATAATTCCTACAGGTCCACAAGCTTCCGTAACTATATATCAAGCAACCAATATTTTTAGCTCGAATATGCATCAGTTTATATATATATATATATATATTCATGTTAAAAATAATTTAATGAATATAGAATCAGAGGAGTAAAATACTCAAAAATGCTTTTTTTTATTATGAAACTGAAAATGTATTTGTTAGGATCTTGAATATTTGCCAAAAAAACAGATAAAGATTGATAATTCTCTACAACGACTGAATAACGTGATAAGATAATTCAAGTATATTAACCAGATTGGTTGAGAAGAGTCAAGCGAAAACTCATAAGAAGCTCCATAATCAAGCACTTTGTGAGCATAAATCATTCAGTTAAAATATATCAGATGTTTAAAGTCATCTACAACGCAAACAGAAAGTTTTTTTCAATAACACCGAGCTACTGTCTCCTTAGCATTTCAGAAGCCTTCATAAGGTACCTAGAAAAGTCACAATTAAGTATAAAAGAAAGCTTATTCAACCACTTCTACTGTGTTTTTAATCTTCAGTTATATCTTCCCCTGTCTCTCTTTATTGACCTTGTGACCCGATTGAGTTATTTTCGTTTCCATGCTCTTTATCATGAAATGTTATATCAACTTTAACAGTTTACTTAAACATGTTATCCAGCCGTCATTGAGAATCATCAATATTTATCTGTTTTCTTGGTAAATATTCAAGATCATAACAAATACATTTTCTATTTCATAATAAAAAGGGCATTTTTGAGTATTTTACTTCTCTGATACGATTTTTATTAAATTATGCTTAACGTGATTATTGTTAACAAACATGTTATTTTACAAAAACTTTTGGCTAACACTGGTAGAACAGTTGGTCACTGAATTTATGAACGATGCTAAAAAGGAAAGAAAATTTTTTAAACACCTGAAGAATTGAAATCAATAAAAACTTAAATGATTCATTCGACAGTCAAGTTTGATATTATCATTTTTTAAAAGGTAGATATTTGTGATTGTATAGTTTCGAGTATGAATTCATCCGAAAAGAGAACTCCTCAATGAGTTTCTTTTTCTTTTTTTCCACATCTAGAAAAATTAGTATTCCTCGGGTGTATGGTTTTCAGTTAAATTTTTATCAGGCTTTACTCGAATATACAATAATATTGGTATGAATATATTTAAAAACATCAAACCATTTAAAGTAGTATTTGAGACAATAATCTCAATTAAATAGATTAAATAACCAAATACAATAAGTAAGAGTACAGATTTATGGTCTCACCATCTAAAATCATAGTCAAAATTCGTTGTCAAATAATTCATGTATGATCAATTTATTTGACTAATTTATTTCCTAGATTCCCGATCCATTTATATTTACGCTGTTCAGGATTCAGATCAAATAGCTTTTAATATTTATACTAAACATTCAGACGACCCTGTATATTCTCAGTTTATTCTCTCTTGTTGTTCATTTCCAAACAAATGACTAGCAAACAAATGGAAAGAGATAAATGGATCTGAAAGTAGTTAATTTAGGTTTAAATACCCATAATTTTTCATTATAACAGAAAAACAACATCAACACAGAGTGAAGTGAAGAAACAGTCAAAGTGATAACGTTTAAATTGATCAGATACTAAAAGAAATGACACTAAAAATACGAAACAAATGACGGAAATACACCCACAGCGTAGGGTTGAAGAATTTTCGAACTATGCATGGGGATAAGTGATGAGAATCTTCTCATTTTGACTGACTTCATGCTGTTAAGCTAAATCTTTCAAATATATCATTTTGCATAATTTACAGAGTTTTGATAAAAAGGCCTAGACAAACCAACAAGTTAGTTTACATAATACTGTTTTTCATCTTTAGATGGATGAAGAATGTCATTGGCACTTGGAATCATGGATACTATTTATTAAAGAACAAATACTAATATTTATTGATAGCAGTAATAGTATTCCAGGTAAGTGATAAGTGAACAGTCATACGCAAACAAAGAGAAAATAACTGGTCTATTCAGTAAATACACAAAATGAATGAAATAAACGAAGAACTCAGAGAATTCACGAAATATGGACACTTGTTTATGAAGACAGCGCACCGAAGAAAATCGATCTTTTCACAGTAGGCTCGTTGTTGAAGGTAATAAGGACTGTTCGGTTGACGCAAGTCTAGAACGACTAGTCACATGTACTGATGAAAACACATTATGATTCCTGATTAACCACGTAGCATTTAGATAATGACTGATCGACTGAGTTTTGGAGAATAGTCTATTTATGCGATTCTAGCAAAACATGGAACAAAAATGCAACTGAACAGCCTAATTTTTGCTAAATCCCAGGGGACGCTAGTGGAACGAATATATTAAAGTTATTCTGAAGGGACCCTAAATTTTTTAAAATAAAACTTATGACCTCGACTAGCAAGTTTATTGGATTGGGTGGTATAATCAACGCGATTTAATAATTAGTTTTTTCTTTGTCATTATCATTAATAGTCATAATGCCGACTACTGAAAACTCTGAAGAAAAACAAAAAGTAATCTTAAAACAAACTTTACATGAGGCGCTATTAAATATATTCAGTCAGCAAGATTTAAACAACTTAAATATCATAATTGAATCAGCTGAAGAGTATGCAAGTTTACAAATAAAAGATTCATCTGCAAAATCATTAACAAATATGGATGAAGGCGAAAGCAAAGATAATGACAGCATGCAGACTAATTTACAGAATATGCTTGATTTTAATAAATTATTCGATAATGTAGGTTGTTTTATTTTGAATAACAGTTATTCTGCACCATTTGATTTTTAATTGAGGTGATAGAGATTATAAACAAGTGTTTTATTCTAAATGATGCTAATAAACAGTATTATATAAGGAGTTACATGAAACTGTAGACTTAACGTTAAGTATTGATAATTGAGTAAAAGGATGCCCTTCATCTATAATGAAGTACTTGCTACAGAATATAATTTACTAGACTCTCAATTCATAAATTATTTTTATACAAAGTGATGTAAAATAATAAACTTCACTTTACACCTTGTACTTCTAGGTGCTTCTTTTTGATGACCTGTTAATTATAATATGGTTTTTTCTCCCCATCATTGCAGTAGACACGATTTGTATTTTGTTTCATCACTTATCGAAAAATGCTAGTTTCTAATAATAATGAATTCCTTGGGTTAGATGTAGGGTAGGCAGTAAAGCTGGAGAATCGGTTGATGAAGTTATGAACCTTCATTGACTATGTTGAATTGAAAGTGTTACTCTCGCCCATTCAATGTGGACACCCGTTTACAATAATCTCTAGTATAGTAGTAGATTTGAAAAAATCTATGGTCGATCAGGCCAAGGAGTAGCAACCATTTTGTGTAACGTAAGTTTCGTAGTTGAAGTGAGAGACATAATCGTAATCTGAGATTAGAGACATAAAGCAACATGATTCAAAAGCACTTCAAAACCCACTGTTTAGTATCATTTAATACCATCTATTTTGTTGGATTTACTGGCCCTCTTTAAGTTCTTAACTTTCCACCAAAAATGTATATTGTTTCCTCTTCACCATTTTTCGTCATATTATCATCAATTCACTTTGATGTGAAGCAGTGACAACTTGGTCTAGTGCATACTTCTATCATACCCTACGGTTTTGATGACCAAGTATTATATTTAAGTAAAAAAAGAAGTGCTATTTGTCACGCTCAATACGTTTTAATGATCAGACAAGAAAGAACCACAGTTCACGTGAAACCTATCCCTGTATATATTAAACTAAAGATTACTTGTTTATTTAAACCTAAAATGTAAGAGTATCAACAATTTTTAGTTTATCTTGACATTTTCATGCTGTTTTTTTTGTGATATAATTCTAACGACACAATCATTTCGGTTAGCTTAAATCAACAATTTATAACTTCATTATTTATTAAGTTTATTTTTGGCTTTGTAATTTGCATATTTTTCAAAGTGTATCATAGTGGAATGATCGATATACAACTCAAGTTGTTTGGCTATAATAAAATTTACTAGAATTCGACTTTGACCCATGTAGTGAGAACAATGATGTTGACACAATAAATGGATAGATTTTATTATCAGTATCTCAAAAGTGCGCTATTAAGAAAAGTCCTTCAATGCAGTTTCACTTATGGAATAAATAGAGACAACTTTTGACTCACGTGGGTGCTATGGCGTAATATTATCTCAGGTCGAGTAAGCGTTCATGGTGTTGTCCAAAACGAAAACTAATGCTTCATGGTCTGACCACTAAGCTCATATTATCTGATACCACTATTATATGTACTGGATAGTGAGAGCTTATTACAGTTCTTGCAATGATTATTGGTGAGAATTATTTACAAAACTAACGTGAATGTCCCGCTTGAATACAACTGATACAAATCGGTTATGCTTTTGAAAACAATCCAATTCCTTTCGTTGTTATTATCCACAGACTATGCCATCTAGATTACTAATTGACTGTAAAATGTGTTTTGTGGTGTATAAAAATAATTTAATAGCTATTAGTCATTACCACATTCAAAGAATTATTTGACGATTGTGAACAATGAATTCAGTTGGTGGAGTTACAAAACTGTAAGTACTATGAAGCAAAAACTAAATCATATTAAACGCTGTAAAATCACTGAACATTCTACATACCCAAATTTCATTACAAACAGCATGGTACATGGAACAACTCTAAAGTCTATTGTATTTAGTTTCAACTACTTTTAAAAAATTACCAACATTTCAACTCACTTTTTTCCACTGTATAATTTAGATTAGGAAACAATTAGATTGGTGTTTTGAAATAGTGTAATATGGTACAAAGCACGGTTCGTGTAGTGAAATTATCAAATTAAACAAACTTCCCTAGATATTTTTCCAGTGTTGAATTTATTTTTTATCTATTTATTTGAACACATAAATATTGGTACAAGAGGGCACCAAATATATATGCACCACACAAAACAATGATAATTTGAAGAGGAGAAAAAAAAGAAAAAAAGTAATGAACGTGAGGAATTATTAGAAAAAAAAGAGAGAACAGTAATGGGTAAAACAGAAAGGTACAATCAGAAGAAATCTTTCAGTTAAACAAGATACAACCACTTTTTATGAAGAAAGTAGAAGTTTGCAGCAGGATCGCCACTGGCTTCTATTCTGAGCCATATCTGATAACGTCTCCAGCCACTGTGATACACCATCTCTCGGAACCCAGACAGGGAGTCGTTAAGGACCAACACAAGCCAGCCCTTTGCAGCTTTTTTTCATACCACGACACCATGTCATGAACTGACCACCTCTCCGCTTTTTCCAACCAGTCCCAGAGTCGGCAAATAATGCACGACGAGGAATTCTCTGGGACGACATTCGTAGAACATGTCCAAGCCACCGAAGTCGGTGTTTCGAGATGGTAACACCAATAGAGTTATCGTCTCTGTGACCGAACACACGATGCCGAACCTCTGCATTACTAACATGGTGTTGCCACTGAATGTCAGCATTCCTTCGGAGACAGCGATGACCGAACACAGACAGTCGTCTAACATCCTCAGCTCAGAGAGGCCAGGTTTCACAAGCATAGAGCAGAACTTCTCTCACCGACGCGTTGTAGATCCGACCTTTTACAGCCATACTAACATCACGAAGGCGCTCAAGATGGCCCAGATTGGCGTAAGCCACTCTGGCTTTCACTATACGTGCATTGATCTCATCACTCACCTCACCAACAGCACTTATGCAGCTACCTAGATACACGAACTTTTCGACTACTTCTATTTGCTCACCATCCAGGGTGAGTACGGGATTAGAATCCTGCCAGTCTTGTAGAAGTACTTTGCACTTCGAAGGTGCAAAGCATATACCATACCTACGGACATTGATTGCCAACTGATTAAGTGCGGATTGCATGGCTTGGGCATTCTCGCACAGTAAGAAAATATCATCCGCATATTCAAGGTCGAGAAGTCTTTCTCCAGGCAACAGATCCACACCACCATTAGTTACATCCGTCAAAGCTGTTTCCAGAATGTCATCGATGGCATAGTTGAAGAGGAATGGTGAGATTGGGCAACTCTGCCTAACTCCACTGCTCGAATGGAATAATGGAGAGAGGTGGTTGTATGCCCTCACTCTGCCTGAGGTGTTTGTGTATAGGGCTTGTAGGATGTTAATAAACTTCTCAGGCACACCCTTCTCCAATAGACAATCCCAGAGAACAGTCCTGTCCAACGAATCGAAGGCAGCCCTGATATCAAGAAACACTACGATTGTTGGCCTTTGATAAGTATGACGGTGTTCTAACATTTGGCGGAGGGTGAAGATATGATCAATACATCCTCGACCAAAACGAAACCCAGCCTACTCCTCGCGAGTCAATCTTTCTCGGGTTTTGAACAACCTACGAAGTATAACGGAAGCCAATAGCTTGAACGCGATCGGAAGTAGACTTATTCCCCGATAGTTGTTACAGGAACGACGTGAACCCTTTTTAAAGATAGGGACAACTATCGACTCATTCCATGACGTTGGTACACTCTCTAGTTCCCAGATCTTTGTAAACAACGTCGTCAGTCCCTTAATCAGAAAGTCACCACCATCTTTAAAAAGAGCCGGAGTAGAGTCATCTGGGCTTGTCGATTTGTGGCGCTTCAAGAGTTGGAGTTTCTTGCGGAATTCCGCCTCATTTGGTGGATCAGCCGTCACCGGCCATGGAGGGCAGGACAATCTGATCGATGTTGCCGGAGCAGCAGACCAGTTGAACTGCCCTTCGAAAAATTCTGCCCATCGTCTAAGACGTCGATGGATGTTAGTTATTGCCGTTCCATCATCCTCGCAGATCGTTTCGCTCACACCAGACTTCTTGCTGCCAGTGACTCGGATGAGTTGGAAGAGCTTCCGGTAATTACCAGATGCAGCTGCTGATTCCAGCTCATTAGCACGCTCCGACCACCTGGCTTCTCGGTCCTTACGCAAGCTTTGCTCGATTTCGTTACGTAACATCCTTCGTCTGTGGTCAAACTCACGGTCACCCGGAGTAGACCGACGGGCTTCAATGAGTTGTAAGGAACCAGAAGAAACTCAGTGCTTATAAGCGGGACGTTTCGCGAACCCACAACAGACTTTACCCGCCATTTTCATGGCATCCTGCAATTGCAACCAATGCTCATCTATACTTTTCGGTGGAATGGTAGTTAGCTTAGAAGCTAGCTCGGCTCGGTACTTACTAGCAACAGAAGTTGCAGCCAGCTTGCTGACATCAATCCTGTGGTGTCGGTCACTTCGTTGTCCACTGAAAAGTATGGTAAGATTGGCGCAGACCAGGGCATGATCAGATTCCAGATAGGTACTCCAAAAGGAGCGGCAGTCTTGTACACAACCACGCCAGCGGTAGCTGATCGCGATGTGATCAATCTGTATCCAGGCTTGAGATAAAGAAGGAGGATGGCAGGTGGCACATCGGCGACGACTTTGCCGAAAGTTAGTGCTAGCCAGAAACAGGTTGTGGTCTGTGCATAGTTGCAGTAGACGTTCCCCGTTATCTGTCCTGCGACCAACAAGTCCCCATCGGCCACCTAAACGACTCTCTTCAGTGTCTAGACGCCCGACCTGAGCATTCAAGTCTCCGGCTAGTACTACAATATCTGTCGAACGCAATTTCTGGAGAAGAACAGTTAACTGGTGGTAGAACTCATCCTTGATTGCATCCGGGCTGCAATCTGTCGGGGCATAAGCGGAGATGACGAAAAGACATCGTTTCTCACGCCGATTTCTTCTCACTTTGATGGAACTTTCTAATCTAACAGCACATAACCGACCGTTAATGGGGATCCAGTCGATTAGTGCTGCCTTAGCTCTAGCGCTTAGTGCGACAACAACGCCAGCAAGACCAGACGAAGATGCCATAGGGTCCCGGATAAACGCACATAAAACAAGATTTTTGAAGCGACAGATGGAGAGCGAACTTGTAGTACTTCACCAGAGTCTTGAATACGAGACTCGGATAGACAACACACGTCAACATTAAGACTTTCCAAAGACATAGCCAGCCCTATCTGTTGTCCGACCTGCATAAGTGTGCGAACGTTGAAGGCAGCCAGTTTGAATGGTGCACGTGGTTTCAGAAAAACTGCTTCAGTACTCGTATTCGGTGGTAACATACAATTTTCAACCAGGCAGTGACTCGAGAACGTTTAGATAGAGCCGAATTTCCACCATAGGCGAGCTGCTGTCTAAGTCGAAACGGATACATAAAGTGGGAATAAGCGAGAGTGAATAAATGACGTGGTAAAATAATAATAATAATAATAATAATACTACTACTACTACTACTACTACTACTACTACTACTACTAATAATAATAATAATAATAATAATAATAATAATAGTGCGAGTCATTACAGTGTAAATCGGAGCGAAAAGAATATTTTCCATAAGTAAATAGTTCATCATGTTTTAGTGCGTGGGCTGGGATACTGCCCGGGTGCCCAGACCGAAGCAGGTGGTTTTCTTAGGGGGCCACACCCCGAGCCTTTGACCTAAGGGTCTAGTCTACAAGGCAGTGGAGCATCGTGAGGAGATGCAGTCCCATAGAAGCCGGTGACCAAGAAATTGGTTCATACGCCATTTGTTCCCGCAGGATACTGGAGCACATGTGCACCATTGATTTGGGATCCGGGTAAAGCGCCGGACATTCGCTTTTCATCCTCTCATTTTCGTAAAGAACACCCCTGCCACGAGAAGGCATTGAGTAGGACTTCCCTGGCAGATGCTGTATACGCGTGGCCGTATGAGAGTATTTCGAGAGGGAGGGCGAGCCCATCACACTCTCGGCCATACTAGGGCATTTGGGGGCTTTCCAGTGTTGAAAGCTTTTTCGTTCACACTATTTATTTTATTTCGGTTATTTATTTAGTTTGAAGAAAGAACTCAAATTAAGTCACAAACACGAGAAATACTATTTCCTACTCATTGGGATATCACACATGTGCATTATTTATTATCGCAATAATGGCTCCATATTTGATTTTGTTTCCTTTGTTTTTTGAATAGGCACATGATGAAGACTTCAATCCATTCTTAAAAGAATTAATTTCAATATATAAACACTTAAAAGCAACATTTGTCAATGGAATTGTCACCGAACTTCAGAAGTTAAAGTAAGAGATTATATCATCCCAACAAGTATGACAAATAATTTTCGTAACTATAGTTTTCTTCATATTGTTTGTCCGATCAAGTAACGCTTGAACTGATGATTCTACTGAACGATTTTTCATTATCCTGAAAGCAAGTACAACATGACTACAAGATTATTATGCCCTAACGATTATTTTGATCAATGAGTTTGTAGATATTAATGCCAAGATTGGACTTGATAGTTTTTAATAAATTTGGCATTAGATAGGAAGTTAGCAATAAATAAAATCTTTGTTATATCCAAATGAGCAGAAAAATTGTATTCCTGATGTTTTGTGACTTAATATAGCCACTTCTTCAGAGTACATGCTCTGAAATACAATTTTTCTTCAAATTGGGATATAGCAAAAACTATATTTACTACTAATGACTGCTATCCTAGTAGGGATCACGTAGAAAAGATTCAGTGTGAAGTTAATTTTCATCACAAATTTACATCAGCTGAAGAGCAGAATCGACAAATAAATAATTACTGGAAAAACCAATTAAATGAATGTCATATAGAATAATATGGATCCATACACGAAAATTAGAAATTCCGGTTTACAAAGAATGTATAGAATATTAATGAAAGCATCTTGTTGTGCTAATGAGGTATGGCAACTTGGACCGATGCCTGGTCCTACGTTGTAGCTAACTGACTGAAAATTGCAATTTATCGCACGCAAACAATTAGTAAGTTATTGTTATAACTTGTGACCTGTGTGTAATGTATGACGTAATAATACCGCCAATTAGAGAGCAGTGACTTATCGATCAGACCAATGACGCATAAAACCTGTACGAGCAGTCTGGAGTACTTATCGGTCCTGCTCCCTGAATAGCCCAGCTAGTTAAGTCCAGAACACCAATCTCAGCCTCTGCAATATGAATCATTTATTTCAAGTATACGGGGTTTATATAGTTCTTAATTCAGACTAAGCAGTTGAGACTTCTTCGTCTTCAGTGCCTTGACTTTATGTCTTGTATCAGCTTGAAGTGTATTTGAAAATGACCAAGACTTTCAAAATTACATTCACATATAACGAAAAGCGGGAAATTTTCATGCACGACACTTTAACCATTTTCAAATTTATTACAAATGATTATTTATCAATTCATGTTTATTTTAATCTGGTGAAAAAATAACAAGCAGATCAGATGGAGTACAATCCAGCAATGTAACACTAGTTCAAATAAAGCATGCAATCGAATGCATAGCTCCATCCACTGCTGTCACATTGAATGTAAGACCGAAAAGTGGGAAACCTATCACAACGCAACAGCAACAGTATACACTATCGATTGATATCGAATCAAGTTTAGAATGGTTGTTTAAAATTAATCCAAATGATTCACCATTACAATCGATACCTTTGAATCAGTTGACAACACGTCTTGAAGGATGCAATTTGTTTTTTTAGAAACTAGTTTAGAAACTTATAATTTCTTGTTTTGTTCATTTTTGTTTTAACAAACTACATTTTTACAGAAAAAATGAGTTATTTCAGTAATTCCAAGTAAATAGATGCTGAAATCTTATGACTTTTCATTTGTCCTCTAGTAACCGTAAGGTTTTGGTTCAAATAAATTTTTAATGAGAATATTTCTGTTTAAGAGGTTTATAAGAAGGCTATCTGTAAACACTACAATCATCAAACTGATATCCTCATAACATAATCAAATAAGTTTAGAAACAAGAGCTACTTCTGGTGAACAAAATTCATTGTTATCACTGGAAACTACAATTTTGTATAAATTGTCATACAACTATGATTATTAGAATGTACTGCTGCTAATCGCATTAAAATATGATCTATTACTTCCTGTTAAGTTGGAAACGACTAGGAGTCAATACAAGATGTCACAAAGTATAATTATCTCAAAGCATCCATAAGTACGTCCACCTGTTGTCGCTGATTGGCATACTTAAAATCTTTTGAAATCCAAAGTAGTTATGTTACTGCTAATCGGCTGGATCATACATATCTTGTGATTATTATTTTCCAAATTTCATCAATTGAAGTTACCGAGTCGTTCTACGCATCTGTACTATGTGGGTAACTATCCTTTTTCTTCATATATGACCTAACTTACCTCCAATGATCAACTGAAATCTACAGGTTAATTATTGTATTGATGACCAGTGGTTACTGAAGTCAAGGTCCTGGTTGCAAAAATCGTGAGTAGTATCATAGATCACTGTTGATTGCTTGAAGTTCGACAATGTTAACTACTGAAATTTCAACTCAATGATAAAGTTCTTGTCCTGATATCAAAAATTTCTGATGTCCGTTCGCAAACAGAACAATATTAAGTAAACAACATATTAAAATTTAAAACTAAAGGGAAATAACTACAAATTTTATATTCGAGATAAAATAATAACGAAATAGTAAAATGTAAACACTCAGCAGAAGTCTTGTTTCAGTTGTTTCATAAATATCATAAAGCATTTTCATCAACTGCTAATATAACAACATAGTCATTATTACTTTTTTCCGCAGTACATTGATAAACTGTATACCAGAAATTACTACATTTTTTGTTCTACACAAAAATACCAATAACCAGTGGATATTCGTCAATCAATGACTACATAACATTGTCAAATATTACTTGGGTATACGAAAATTTATCATCTATGAATGAATCACACCTTATAAAACGTGAAATAATTCGGACCTTGTACTCGAATTCCGAATTGCTTATGAATACAATTTAGATCATATACAAAGAAACAGTATAGATAAACAATCGTTAAATTCAGTTTAACGATATATATATATATATATATATATATATATATATATATATATATATATATATATATATAAACAGTCGGTCAAGCATACGAAAGGGGACAACCGTTAAAAAATGTTACAGAGAGCTAGTGAGTTACCTTAGGTTACTTCGGACTAGTAGATTTCAATTCTCTCGTTGTTTTCATTCTCAGAGACTGTGTGACAGTGAGGAACATCAGCAACGTAAACAGTGACTGAAAACAAAACCGGATTTCCGAAACCAGGAAAACTTTGAAAATACTAAGTAACAGTCAAAATGTGCAAGTCAGCAGTAAAATGAGACAGTCGATGAAACTCTCTTAAAGCAGAATGACTAGTAGTGAACCCTCAGCACATCCCAAAAAGCTCATGAAACCAGTTTGAAATATTACATTATATTATTCTCACCAGGTTAGGAAAAAATATTTGTTGGTGTTCCATATGAAACCTATTCTCCGGTTGTAATTCAGATGGACAACTGTAATACGGACAATCATCAAAAAAGGACAACCGTTGTTTCTATGAGGATTTAATACTGCTTGAAATAGTCCAGAAATTTTGACAAAATTTCGACTACGTTCAATATAAAGACTGTTTCAACTTACATTATAACTCGGTAGATTACACATACCACAATCTCAACTACCAAGTATTAGTACGGAAACATTGAGCAAAGTTGAATTTTAACTTCTAGAAGCCACAATGTATTGTTAATGGACAAAATAGTCACTCGATCGACTTTCACCAAACCTAAGAACCAAGTCGTGTAACATGGCTTCCAAGGGTTGAGGAACGAGTCTTTAGTAGGCTTTCCGTTGTAGTAATGTCGTAAAGCAAAAGTAGAAGTTCTGTTTACTTAGCAAGCCGCACCTACTGAGATTGTTGATTTCAGTCGTCAGAAGAACTGCAAATATATTGGGTAGTATCACCAAACATTAGATAACACAATCTAAATTCATAGTAGTGAGGTAACTTCATTAATAACCTGTAATCTAAAGCGATACCACAATCACTGATCAATTAGTTACTACTCTACGTCACAAGTGTTTAAAAATGAAACATTCTGTCGTCATTGTCCAACCGAATCCAAAGTCAATAGAACAACCATTTGTGCACAGATTCGAATGCCCTAATTCTATCTGAAGTTTGTGCCGATAACTTTATCTAAAAAGATAATGGAAGCTCCATTTTAAAAAATTCTACAGTTATAGAACCTTAAAATTAAACAACCGAACAGGAGTAACTTAACTCAGTACCGAAGTACGGGTTCATACACAGCTTTAAGCTACACTATTTTTGCATGGAGGCTAACGGAACTACATATTGTTCATACGAGGCACTATGCCTAGGTCTGAGTTACAGATACAAACCTCGCTGCAGGAGTATTATGTAAAAGCAACCTGAAACTAATCTAAGCCATGTTACAATACGACTGAAGTTAGAATAAAAAATTGCTTTAAGAAACTGGACAGTTGGATTATTTCAAGTTTAGCGAAACGCAATTTACTGTTAATTTTGCAATTAAACACGACTAAATTTGGATAAGGTGTAATACAACATTTTTTGGGATTAACAAAAAGGTGTAAAAGGTATTGATGACAATAATGAGATGAAAAAAAACCGGAAAACGAGTAAAGTCACATAACAGACAAAAAAATGTAGATTGTCAGCAATGATGAATAAATATTACTCTTTAAATAAAATAAATGTATTATGTCAGTAGAAATCGGAACACGGTAATCATTTTCTCAAACTTCATCTGAAAGAAGTTTGGAAAAGGCGAACACCCCATTTGGGGTTTCTGAAGCAGCTTGTGAAAATGATTGAGCAGGGAATAATCGCATCATAGGGATATATGTTTTGGTACGATGAACAGAATCTGGATGAAGAGCTTTCGCAAAACCGACACGGTTTCTGCCCATATCGAATACTGTGTAAAATTTACCTATGAATATATCTCCCAATATCCATAATTTCCTCTTCGGCAAGTCCAATCCAATGAAACCGCTTAGACAAATCTCAGAGCCCATTTTGGATACCTGTATCGAAATCAAAATCATGCACAGAAACAATCAAACATTTTTCACTGAAAAAAATGCATATTGACGTATTGACACAATAAATGACAATTACACACAAGAAGTAGCAGTTATTAACTTCACTTGTAGCTCTTCTGAGGTTACTGTCGGTCTCGAACCCGGATAAAAAGAGGAGGGTTAGGCATGGGGTCAGCAACCAGATCCCATAGAAAACAACCTTACTAAAAAACACTAACCAGAAAAAACAGTCTAAACAATGTAATGGGAGTTAAAGGATCTACATTAAGAATTATGACGCCTCATAATGAAAGCCAAGATTCGTTGGAAGTCACGGGCTAATGTCCCTTTTCACAAACAGAGCGACATTTACTGTAGGTATATGGAATGTAAGGATTATGTTGGAGACTGAAAGGACCAGCCAAATTGCTGCGGAAATGAAAAGATACAATTTGGCGGCTCTCGAAATCAGTGAAACACATTGAACCCAAGCTGGACAGAAAAGATTAGCTTCGGAAGAGATGCCGTTGTACTCTGTTCATGGAGAAAAATTTTCGAACACATAAGAAGTTACACCAATGCTGTCCAAAGAACCACGAAAAGCACTTATAATATGGGAATCTCATGCATCCAGAATCATCAAACCATCCTTCAAAACAAAGAAGGGGGGACCACAATGAATGTTATTCAATGTTGTGCACCCACCAATGACAGCAACGATGACAACACATATCAGCTTTATGAGAGGCTGCAATCGATCATAGCGAAGTGCCTGATAGACCTAAACGACATAGTCGGAGAGGATAACACTGGGTATGAAGATATCGTGAGATGACATGGACTGAAAGAAAGAAACGAGAATGGTGAGAGATTTACAAAATTATATGCCTCGAATAACATGGTTATAAGTGGCGCTACATTCCCCCCACAAACGCATACACAAAGATACATGAGTCTCACCGGATCATACTACAGTGAACCAGATCGGTCATATCTGTATCACTAAACAATTCAGAAGAGCAATGGAAGACTTGAGAACACAGAGAGATACCAACACAGCTTCGGATCACCACCTGAGGTTTGCCAAGATCAAACTGAAGCTAAGGAAGCACTGAACAAGTGGAGAAACTGAAATACTGACGAACTGGGTAGACTAAAGTTAGCTCCCAATAAAAGGTCCCAAGCCTGACAAGGTCTACTCGAAGGAGAGGGAAGTACTATGTGGGATAACTGGAAAGGAACCAAAGAAGCACTAACTTCAACATGTCAAAAAGTTCTGGGCCTCTAGGAGGACCATCATAAAGAATGCATTTCTATCGATACTCTGGACAGGATTCAAGGCACAGACCGAATACACAGAGGCGGACAAGAAAGTAAAGATGAGCAGTAGAGCCGACAGACAGAAGTACGTGGAAGATCTAGCAATGATGGTGAAAAAAGCTTATAAGGGGAGGAAACATGAGACAACTACATGACACAACGAAGAAACTAGGAAGGAAATATTGTAAACCACAGCGACCAGTCAAGAAAAAGAAGACAAGCCAATCACTGGGATTCAAGAACATCGGAACAGGTGAGTGGAGCACTTTTAAATGACTCTCTGATAGACCAACACCACTGAACCCACTAGGTTTTGAAGTAACGCCTACAGACTTTCCTACAGAGGTCACCACACCAACAATCAAAGTAATCAGCAGGTTCATCAGACAAATCAAGAGTAGAATGCAGGAGGAACAGACAACATA